TGACATACTATGACTCTGAGACTGTTAATGAAGAACTTTAACGCATTACAAACAAAATAATGAATATTTTAAATTTTGGCAAAGGTAAAAGTTAGATAGTAAACCAGACAGACAGTAATTGATTATCCAGATTACACAAATTAATATTTGGGAGTAGCTCTATAGCTACTTACTTGTGTGCTTGTATTCTCCAAATAAATTCATACCCAAATTCAGTTAAATGAAAACTTTCTCAGCCTTGGCTCTCTTTACCACTTTCTAAACCAATAAACAGAGTAAGCGAAACAGGTTACTGGGCTCTTGGAGGCTATTTTGAATAGCCTAAATCTGTAAAAGCATTTCCCACTGTCCATCTATAGATTTAATTTGAGTGAGACCTTTCTTGTAACATTGTGACTTCTTTTCCACAAATGAGGTGTCTAACATTGAACTGGTTTCACGCACTTCACCAAGAAAAAGACTAGTAGTGTCACCACAAAATTGCTAGGCCAAGTGTTATAACCACTGAAGTCAGTGGCTATGGGAGAGGCTACTGCAAGAGATATAATTTCCAGATGGCTTCCAGCAGATTTTCTCCACTGTGATTTTTCTTCTCATGGAAATTTTCCCTACTTTTGCTGCATAATGCTACGTGATCCTGCATCGCATTCGATTCTCAAACCCATCCAACTGTGTGATAGTTCTCAAAAGACACCAAGAGAGACTAGCCCACCACAAGGATAGTTTGTGGAAATCGTGTACTAGCGAACAGAAATTGTTCTGAGGACTTAAAAATTGTAGTTAAATTGGTATTATGAAGTGTACTTAATAACAGGTTTAGACATATTTAATATTTCATGAAAAAAATAGCAATAACCCATATCCAAAAAACTTGGGATAGACCAACAATAAGCTGAAAAGTAAGTGCTACTAAAAAAAGAAAGCCCTGGAGAATAACTTTTCAATTAAATAGTTTATAAATGCCATCAGGTGTCATGGTTCTGAGTTTTGACCGTGTTTTCAGTTTTTGTGCTTCGTGCTTCCCTGTGAAGTCCGTCTTGTCTCCGTGTTTAGTTGCCTGTTTCTCCAGTCATGTCTCTGTGTGGTTTCTCTCTCCCTTTCGCCCTCATCATCCCTCGCTCTTTCAGCCTTGTCCCTCCTGCTCTTATCTCTGTCTCATTCCTCTGTTCCCTGTATTTAGTCAGCCGTGTTTCCTTGCTGTTTCCTCTCTGCCCCGATTCCCTCTGTTATATATATCGCCCGTGTCTCCTCCTGTGTGTTCTGTCAGTTAGTTTAGATTTCTAGAGCCTTCCCAGTTTTAGTTAGTGTGTTTTGTAATCTGCCGTTAGCTACCTTGAAGTTTAGTTCTTGTCTTTGAGTCCTAGATTTTGTGTCCTATCCTGCCTTGCCTCACACTGTGTTCTGAGTGAAATCTGTGTGCAAGGAACAAGTTAAAAAATGACAATCACATTAGAAGCAACCATGATTCTTTAATGGAAATCACTGCATGAGTTCAGGAATGCTTCCAGAAATCACCGTCTGTGAACACAGTTCAGTGTGCCATCCAGAAATCGAGAATAAAACTCTACTATGCAAAGAAGCCGCCATGATGTAGAAATGCATTTGTCTTGTCTTGGCCAAATGAACTAAAGCACAGTGGAAAACTGTTCTGTCATCGGATGAACCAAAATTTAAAATGTGAAACCCTGCACTTTGGATTTAAGAGGAGAGGGACTATCCATGTTGTTATCAACGTTCAGTTCAAAAGCATGCATCTCTGATGGCACGAGGGTGCATTATCGCCTTTAGAGTTGGCAGCTTGCACATCTAGAAAGGCACCATCAATGTGTATATACTGTATATTTATTATCTCACTCTTATTGCCTGTTTATGCCCTGTCCTTATGTTCAACGTCATGCTGCTCTGTTGTATGTTAATTGCCCTTTGGGGACAAATAAAGTCTTTCTGAATCCTGAAAGGCATTTACGGGCTTTAGAGTAATCTAAACTCCCATCCAGATCATGTTTTTCAGGGAGCCTAAGCCTAAACTGTATACAGTACTGCATCTATTACAACAGCATAGCTTAATAGTTATGCTTAACATGACCTGCCTACAAATCAGACCTTTCACCAATCAAAAACATTTGATGCATCATAAAGTGAAAAATATCGCAAAGAAGACGCAGGATTGTTAAGTAGCTAGAATCCTTTTTGCTGCCATCAAATTAAAAATCATCCAGTATTTTTCTCATAAGAGAACAACATTTTTTTTATATAATTTCTATATTCTGCTGTGAGTAAATCATTGGTTTATATTTGTAAATATGTATTCTGTTTCTATTTACATTTTACAGCATCCTAATAGTCACATACAGCTAAAGAGAGTACTGTGAAAAGAGACCGGGCAAAACTGATTTGGGAATCGTGATTGTAAATCAGCTCCAGGTTTCAATCCTGCACAGTCGATAGTACTTTGTTCCTCGTTGCTCTTCGTTTGCATTCAGTGTTTGTCTTAGTACCTTAAAATAAAAAACATGTGTCTTCATTGCTGATTGTTGCTGACTTAGAGTTCATAAAATTGTAATCATTTACACCAAATCCCACCCATCCCCATTAAACAATGGATGTACTTTGGCTTAAAGTAAGCAATGAAAAAGCTCTCTGTCCTCTTCTGGATCTTTTTTGCTTTTGGCCTCACTCATGTCCGAAGCTTAATTGGATACTCCAATTGCTAACTGAAACCATCTCTACACACAAGTCTTTATGTTCAAGGGAGGATTGATTGTATCGGACAGGCAGCATATTGTGCTCATATGTAACTGATACAGAAGAGGTGAAAGGGCAATGTGGTTTTCAAAAAGCCTTCTCATCAACAAAATACTCCCAAATGCAAGTGGATGAAATACAAAGTTTCCTTTTTTGACCTCTTCTACGTACTCCTAACTCCCTATTCACTTCATATTTTTATGGAAGTCATTCATTAAGCTCACTGTTTGCTTACTCTGCAACTAGAAAGCCTAGTTTATAATGGGTTCATAGAAATGCGTGTTTAGCTTCACCAGAGTCCTTGCCTGTGCAGTCAGTTGGACAAAATCTTAGCAAAGCGAACAGTTCGCAGGTTTAATTTCCTGCCGAGGCCTTACATGTATATATAGCCAATAATATAGTCCACGACACAAGACGATGTGTTGCAATTGGATAATGAGTGGGTAGCTCAGAGGGAGCAAAAGGAGAGAAAGACACTGTAATTACAAAAGTTTTCCTTCCCAGTGGGACATGAGATCATAGTGATCTAAACTGCTCTATGCACCCAACCGCTTGTTAACCAAAAACCATCTAACATTTTAATTGTCCCAAAAGAATGGGGTCAGAACTTTGATGTGATCCTTTGATATTTTTTTTTCTTCCTGCTACCTTTTGGCCATGTTTTCTACTGTCACACCATACCAACAACAGGGTTTGTTGATGTTTACTTCCCCGAGTCTTATGATTAACTTTCGTCATGTTTTTAAAACAGAAACCCAACATAGTGATCGACACTTACGAGGTGATATTAAAGTTCTCTGGCAGATCTTTAAATGGAGACGTAAGAGCTTCTTATGAGCTTCTTTAAGCTCATAATGCTTATGATGCACAATAATGCTTAACAATATCCCTGCCTTCAACCTTAATCTCAGATTACAATGTCATAGGCCTCTTGCCATTAGGTGTGGCCTTTAAGTCCAGGCTCATTATGGCTTTCCATGCTGTGTTTAAAGGATCATGTCAGCTTTATACATAAGACAGAGGTCAATAAGTAAGAGGCAGCGAAACATACTTGTCCTTTAAAAGATGGATAATAGTCATATGCTGTTGAGAAAAAGTTGCATGGTGAGGAAAATCTGATAATTTTGTTTTGGATGATGGTGAGAGATGACAGCTCAGACTGAGCTTTTGTTATAATAAACCATCCTCACTTTTTAAAATAATAGACAGCATTACAGTTAATAACAGCCAAATTGAGTTTCTCACATTTGAAATCATTTTAAATCTAGTGTATTATCTTGACAAGTCTCTCTCACACAAACATCTCTGATGTCTAATCGCCTCATTCGATTAAATCCATTCAATTAAAAAAATGCTGTGTGTGGAAAACAGCTGTACTTTGGATGTATTTTGTGATTTTTCCATTGTTATTGAACATCTAATGTGAAGTCGTTGAACAGAAAAGAAACGTCAACGGATGTGTTTGTATTATTTATTTATTTTTATATAAATTGACATGTGCAAAAGTCTTGAAACTGAAGAGAATAGTAGACTATATGCGGTTATTACTAAATACCACTTCATTGCAATTCATTTACAATTAATATTGCTGTGAGACAAACTGTACTGACTCAAACATTTCAAATGTGTTTACAGTACAATAAGTCATCCTTTTTGTACACGTTACATACAGCTTTTGCTTTGATAGGATAAAAAGTTGATCCTTTATTCATAGCCAGTTTGAAAGTCTGATTCAGCACATACAGTATTAGCTCTGAACTGATAAATACCAAGTTCACCAACCAAGCCATTAGCTTTTGTTACCTCAAATCTCTTAAGAAATGTTCACTTGCAAAGTCTTCTGTGTGGCACAGGAGTGATTGAGAAAATATTGCAGTTTATATATTTTTTATGCTGCCCACATTACAACCAAAAAAGCATTCAATATTTAAAACCATACTTTTTGGACTATAAGGCGCACTCAAAATCCTTTAAATTTCTTAAAAATCGACAGTGTCCCTTATAATCGGTGTGGCTTAAGTATTAATTCTGGTTGTGCTTACTGACCTGAAACTGATTTTATGTGGTACACGGCACTCAAAAATCTGTCAAAATATTTTAGTACGACTTGACCGTACTACTTGATGGATTGTCTGAGCATTACGTCTACCGTAGTCAGGAGCCTGGCGGAGTGATACGTACTGTGCTTCCAAATAATATTGCTTCCCAAAAATGGCACCTGTTAAGAGACATGCTTACAAAGTCCAACTCAAGGCTATCAGTCATGTTTTGTTTAATGCGCCTTATAATCCTGTCCACCTTATGTATGAAAAAATAGATCCGTTTATTGATATTGTAATATCTTACCTTATAATCCGCTCCTTAAATGTCTGAAAATAGAGTCTTTTATTTATGGAAATACATATTTTGAACCAAAAATGTATCAGTAGTAAAAGTAATAATTATGCAGCTGAATTGCTCTTGTCAGTGTCATATTATATGAAAGTTAACGGATAATTACTGCTAATGTATTGACAAGTAATGTTTTTTTCTATCACTTCAATGCGGGACTAATAGTATTAAACTTTATATTCATTATCAAGGTATCAATGTATAATATTTTACAAAACCAAAGATTTCTTTAAGTGTAAAATCTGAAAGGTAACCAGTTACTGGAGCTGTCCAACAAATGTGAAAGTGAAAATATCTTTCTCTGAAATATTGTAAAGTAAAGCAGAAGTGGCATAGAAGGAAAATTAAATAAAAAAGAAGTACGTCAAATATTTTCAAGTTGCATCATCAAGATATACAAACAATATGGCTTATTGCTATAAACACATGGGTACATGTTAAATAACTTTGACTATATGAACAGCTCCTTTTCCTCTAATTTTCTTTGATAAAAAGAAAACAAGATGTCATTTGGTTCACTTAAGGATATAAAGGAGTGTAAATTTACAGACACTATAGTCCCAATATATTGTTTCAGTTATTCCATTGTACTGAATAACAGAAATGTGTATTATAAGAGATTCAAATAGTGTAATAGGTCTATATAAGAGATCTAAACTTCTTTGAAGTTTAACATCATTATGTATGTATATATAAAGTTCAATTACATGAAAATGAATATTTTTATGTAATTGAACCATTTTTCTCCCTAATTTTATAGATCGCCACTTTTTTTTCACTCAAGTGTCAATCAAAACGAGCCTCATGAGACTTGTGTCCTAACTCCAATTGCACACATGCATCTCACTGCGTGGTCCAATACCATCCCTCTGACCACAGGTCTTAGTCTGGCACCTGTGGATAGGCTTGTGCATGGATCCTCTCTCACTGCAGAGCCAGTCTCATACTCCAGTGACATTGGCCCAGGCAGGGACAGAATCTAGGTGAAACATTGCTTTACCCCAGCTGTTAATGGCCAGTGTAATACAAAGAATGCCAATGATGTTCATGACGAATCCTGTTCTGGCCTGGTGGAGAAGAAAAGAATGCAGTCATTTCAAGATTTAGTTTAATGTTAACATCTATATTTGTTGCTGAAAGTTGCATGAGAAGATCATTATCCCTAAAGAAGTATATAAGGAAGTCCCACAGTGTGTAGATTGGAATATTTCTTTAAATGTACTGTAATGTTATCTCTCAGATAAACTCAAGTTTATGTTTTAACCCATGGAAGTGTTTTGGATGTGCCCACTCTTTTTGTATATTATTATTGTCTATTGTTTGTATCTACCACTTTAATATTTATGTAACAAATCCACATCAATAATTCAATTGGAAGGTGTTAAACTTGTTTAACATTCCTGGAAAGTCGATGGCAGGGGACCTTGAGACACAAATTTTACATACCAAACTAATTTGATTTGAAATTGTATGAGGTTGCACAGAAAATGTGCATAATCTGACTCATTAAAATGCCTTATAACCATACAAGGATGTGACAGAAAACGGCCGATATTTTAAATCGATTGCAGATTACACTGGCTACTTAGAGTGACTCATCATGTGCTACAACTCTTCAGTGGTAACATTTACTATTGTAAAACACTGGAAAACATATTGCTTCACTTCTGCAGCCGGAACACAACTAAAGAATACCCTTAATATCAGCTATCGTCAAAATGTGACTGTCACTTAAGAGATTCTGGTCACAACCGCGTTTTTATGAATGTAAATTCTGCAGACCAAGCAGTTCAACATTGGTCCCAGAGTCACAGCACTGCAACATGTAATTTACACAATAAGCATACCGAAACCAACGTCGTACTTACCATGTCAGCAACCTTAAGGTATCCATAAGAGAAGACTATGGCATTGGGAGGAGTTGCGACAGGCAGCATGAAGGCAAATGAGGCACTTAGGGTACAAGGAACCATGACGTACAGCGGGTTGATTCCAATGGACTGAGACTGTAATAATCACACACAAGGTATCAGCAGTCTGACTCACAGATGAATACAGCCTTGATCACAAAATCCTCCACTACTCTTTCTGGCTATTTTTCTGCAACCTTAATCACCAGCTCATAACTCAGAATGAAATGTATGCAATTCTGTGTGCAGGGAAAACTCTCATTAGGTGTGTGTAATTAAGATGTAATTCCTGCTGGCCCTGTGCTGAGTCATGATATTTAAAAAGAAACGTACTACATATGTGGAGATAATGGCAGACTTTAAAGTTGCAAAAGACATTACTCAGTGGAATTTGCTTCTGAATTACATATCCTGCAGCACACTAGCTTACAAGTGCACAGTAATTTCTGGTTCTCAAAATAACCAAAGGGTGAAAGGACCTAAACTTTATATTTAGTCTTCGTTAAACTTCAGCTGTATATCAGGTCACCAGGATGACAGTATTTTGTCTTGTCACAGGGTTTCTGCCTAAATCAAATGCTGAAGAGTCTCTTGACAGGATGACACACAAAGTGACATGACACAAGCCACCGTTGCCACAAAGTGTTCTCACCATGCCTTTAGCTGTTTGTGTGAACCTGACTAAAGTACTTATTCTCCCTTTCTTCACTTTCTGTTTGTATTTTCAAGGGCTAAACACAGAATGGTTGATCATCCTTGTGCATCTACTTGGCTTTTCCCTCAAGATATCAATAAATGTGAAAACCACTACTTGCGTTTCAGACCTCGTTTTGGCATTCTCTCCAGTGCTCAGCTAGTGGGCACAGAAATGCTATTCTTCAGAAGAAGCAGCAGCGGGGAGGGCACTGTTACAAGGCACTGGACTGAATTGGTGTTTGGCAGGTTATTAATGGGAGAAGGGGCCCACAGAAGGGGGCCAAACATATTCAGCCTGAATGACCAACAAGATGGGTAACCAAACCAAAACGTGGGAAAATGGACCAGCTCTCACTGGGAGTAGTTTCAATGGTGAACTCCAGCTGGGGGAAAGAATTTACGCTAGGAAGCACTTAACCTAACTGAGCTATTGCACCCAAACAGTATTTTCTGTCCTCTCCCACACCACCTATATTTCACTTGCTCTATACTGCTTCACTTGCTTACCATCGAAGCTAAGACGGGTAGGAAGAGCGTTGCAGTGGCTACATTACTGGTGCATTCTGTGAATGTGGCAATCAGCAGACATAAGACAATGGCAATTGCCCAGGGAGGGATGCTTTGCAGAGGAGCCATCTGATCTCCCATCCACTTTGATAGTCCGGACACCTAAAGACACAACAAAACAAAGTGCACATTTACTTTGAGGAGACTGCGATTCAGGTTTGGTCACAATATATTGCATCCGCTACAATGCAATCGTATGTGCAGAACACCAAAAACATCTGAATCCAGAGATTTACTAATCATTTGATTTGCATAAAACTTTAAAACTGCATTAGGAGATTAAAGGAAAAAAAGCATGATGCTGATACCATTAAAAACAGATTAAATAGCTGGTCGATTTGATAAACATCTCTATAAATCCTCATACCTCTAAAATAAACTAGTAGAATCAGAATCTCAAGACACTGAATGGCTATTGTGAAGTTCGAAATTTCTTGAGAGATTGTTATTGGCCCCACAACCATTGCATCTAACAATTGCCTTTGTAACTTACTTCACTGCCCTTAGCCAGAGCAAACCCTCCTCCAAGAAGAAGCACAATACCCCAAGGTAATTTCTTTTGGGCAGCTTTCCAGCTGAGGAGACGAGGTGTTGGGCCAGCAGTTTGATGAGATGCTACAGATCAAAGAAACAAATCATCAAAGTTTAATTACAGCATAGCCTACTCAGAACATTCTTCAGAAATGATGGCTCACCTATGTCAAAACTATGAGTCCTAAAAGAACACAAGCGTGGAGGTTTGGAGGGCAGAACAAAGAGAAGGACTGTGACAAAGACTGCCACCGTGGCATCTGATACATACCTGAAGGATTGAGTGAAAGCAAAAATCAAATAATATCCAAGTTTTATAAAGTAAATTTATGAATGAATAAAAATTAGGTGTTGAATTGTATGTTTTTTATAAAAAATATGTATACAAACTCTGCTTGGGAGTTGAAGATATCTGTTGCCCAGCCATTGACAAAGCCTGGATCCCTTGTGAACCACAGCAACACGAGCAAAATGAAGAGACACAGGACGCTTATCTCTCCAAAGGACATCGGCCCCAGCAGGCGATGCTGTTCACGGATCACATTATATGCAGCAATTTCCTTTTCTGTCTTCACAGCCCCACAGCCCCATGTCTTCTTAAAGCTGGAGGATCACATGGGAAGAAAAGTCTTTGTGTCACTTCTACACTCACTCACAGTCTTAGTGCGGTAAAAAGTTTCTTGATGGTGATTCAAGTCTCTGTCACTTATAATCAGGCTTTAAGCATTATCAAACTCACTTGAATCCCATAAAGACAAACTGCAGCCAAAGCCATGCCAGTGTGAGCATGATGATCATGTTGGGGAAGGCAAAACCGAACCAGGACGCAAAGTTAATAATGTCCCCGTTTTCTGGAAACAACCTAATAAAAAAGACAAAACAAACAAGAGGAATATATAAATACACATGATTTGAAATATTGGCACAATACTAATAACTGATAAGAGAACACTCACTGGTTCATCTGGCCCATGAGCACCAGATTGGGACCAGTTCCTGTCAGTGTGGCTGTTCCTCCGATGCTGGCAGCATAACAAACACACAGGGTCATGCCTTTACACATTCTCCGCCGTTCTGCTGCCTCCTTATGCCTGACAGCCTCAGTCGTGGCATCTAAGAAAGTCACTACTACTGGGCCTTTAAACAAAGAGAAAGAAATAAAAAGGGGTTACTAGCAGCTTAATAAAAGTCTTTAAAGCTGTTGATTTTTATTGATTTTGTGTCCTAGCAAAACATAAAGAAGTTACAAAGGGCTCACCTTGTCCCTCATTCTGTTTCTCTGTCTGTGAATCAGCTTTATTGTCAGTCTCTGATGTTTGGACCTGCTCATCCGAGCTGAAGATTTGAGGCATTTCTGGCTCATTGGTGTTTAGCTGTTCCAGCACTGCTTGGACAATTGGCACCATCATAGCTGTGGTAGCGGTGTTACTGATCCACATGGATAAGAACGCTGTTACACCCATGAAGCCCATCATCAGTCTGCCAAGAAGATAAAGTAAAATTAATAGTAAATTAAGAAAAAAAATCAGAAAGGTGCTCTTCGTGCTCTTGGGACAGAACATGAAGTATGTTAAAGTTTTATGATGGGAGTGAAAGGATTATTTTTTTTAATCTACATTGTATCTGTGCTTTTGATGTCATAACAGATTAGATATAATGTCGGTCTGAAAGGTAATTAACCACTCACAGTGCTGGACGCACACCAACAATGAGCAGCACCCTCAAAGCTATGCGCTTGTGCAGATTCCAGTGCTCCACAGCTACAGCAACCATGAGTCCTCCAACAAACAACATGTTTGTGTCCTTTAGGTACTGCATACACACCTGACACAAAGGGATCACACTGGATAAGATGTATGCACACATAAATAAGCCTATACACTGTGGCATGTTTTTCTTACTTACATCTTTGGACTCCATGATTCCAAATAAAGGGAAAAGGAGAGCTGGAAGCAAAGCGGTTACAGCCAGAGGTAGAACCTCTGTGCACCAGTACACTGCCATCAGGATTATCACATAAGCACATTCTGCCACCTGCAATAAGAAAAAATGATAACATACAGACAACTGCACAAAACAAAGACATTACATTCAGTCTGTGTCAGCAACTTATCTATGAAAATCTGACTTAAGTTCATAAACAGCTAAGATCAATAATTATGATGCAATTTTAATGAGACACTATGATAGTTCAAAGGGTGAAGATAAGATAATCTGTAGTGTCTCATCGCCAGGTTCTACATCTGTCGGGATAACATAAGTGAGATCTAAACAAAACTTGGATTGTCAATGATACTACCTTATTTAGAATTGTTTCATTCCGGTTAAATATCAGCTGCTTGAAAAACCGATTTTTCTTTTTCAATGCTTCGCATTTAGATCTGTGCCAGTGATAACATGCCTGCACCCTGTGATTTTTTGTCTCTGTGACCCACGACGCGTAAAGAGCCCTTTTTACTCTGATGTCCCACGCTTAAGCTTCATGCTACCAAAAAGAAGTTAAAGTAACAGAACCGGAGAACACACCAGCCAACACTGGACAGCTCTCATGCACTCGCTCCAAGCGCTGTGCACTTGACCGCGCATCAACAGGTGCAAAAGACCTAGTGCAAATTAAAATGGGCGAAAGGTAAAATCTCACGTAATTTTAGTTCATTCAAGTTATTCAAGTAAGTAACATCTCTCTCATTAAAATTAATTTATTCTTTCATCCTTTCTTATCACTGTGTTTAGTTTTAAGCCAAACGCAGATTAATTACATACCTGTGTCCTGATCACCAAAGGCAGTGGAAGAAGAAGTAACGGAGTTAAGAAGAGGATCACTTCATTTTTGACAGAGTAAAGGCATTTCAAGAATGCCATCTTGAAAGGAAAATGGAGAAAAGCAGACTTTGCACCGTGGATGGCACTTTTGAGGCGCAGAAGAGAGAAGAAGGAGGGGGGGGGAGGGGGAGTCCCACGCAAATAAAAGAGAGCGAGAGCGAGAAACGTAATGAGGAGAGAGAGAGATGGGGGGGTACGCAAACGCCTAAACTAAAGTACTGACCAATTAAAAGTGAAAAAGTTCCTCCACGTAATAACCACAATAGTTTACATCTTTTACATTTACCATCTTGAAACCGAGGATTCCCCACATTAGGTCCATCACCTCTCTTGGGCGGGGGAGAGGAGGTCGAATGCGGTTGGCAGACTTCAGTCTTGCTGTTGCTTAGGCAAGAGACACAACAAATAATTCAACCAAGTATTTTATTTTTCAAGCTAGGCTTTCTTGAAATTCTATAAACGTATATAAGGTTTACTTTTCAAAATGCTAAAAGTAAAATTTCTTGGTCACTGTCTAACAAAAGGGGTTTGGAGTTAGTTTTACAAAGGTCAATTTAGGTAAATAAAATAAGCCCTTATAACGGTGGCAGTAATCCGCCCAAAATCCCGTTGTATCTTTCTTTAAGACAGCACAATCAACATTTCACCAAAAACATCACAGAAGCTTTGACTGAACTGAATTCCTTTTTCCTTTTCCTTTTCCCGAACAAATAATACCCATTTTTATGCAATTTTATTTTCTCTAACCCGTCCAGTGAGTTTATTAAACATTAGTCACATTATTTCAAATGATAACTATTTAATTATCTATGATCATAACCACTTATGGAACTAGTGTAGTGGGGGAGCTGGATCATGATTGCATTACAAAATACAGAAGTGAAAATAGTACAAATAAGTACAAACAGTATTTACTCCAGGGCTACTGTAATACACTGAAATGTGATGCACAATACGCCTCATTATGCCTCCCTTTTAATGTACTGTAAGCTTGGGATATTTGTAGTGAGTGCCATAAACCCAAGCCAACACTGTTTTAAGACATCAAACACATTCTGCATGGAAGTTAAATAAAACTAAGAGCAGAAGTAAGAGAAGAACATAAAATGCTGAGCCAAGGAATGTCATGTTTTTTGGCAGCATCTTTTCTTTGAAAGTGCTAACAGTAATTATCCTGCATTGGTGGTATGCTAGGATGAGAGAAGCTTTTAATTTGTGTCCCTGTAATTGTGAGTCTTCAACCATGTGTAGTGACATGGCAAGGCATGCAAATATATACTATAATGTGGACGGTCAATTCCCTTAATTCTGCTGCTTTACGTCCATACATTTACTATATATATATATATATATATATATATATATGTGTGTGTGTGTGTGTGTGTGTGTGTGTGTGTGTGTATACACACTGTATAATACATGTTTTGTCCACAGTGTTAACATGAGTGCTGTCTCAGATATTGACAAAAGGATTCATACAGCAATAAAACAACGTTGATCATTGCATAGTGAGAGCCATATTGTTCAAATGTGCTGTGTTTAGTAAATTGCGGCCATAAAATTTGCAGCTGTGACCATTGTAGTAGTCTCTATCTCAAATTTATGCAAGTTCTATTTATTTACAATATCAGAGAAATAATTTGAATAGAAACACTGAAATCGATATATACATGAAAACATAAAAAAAATCACAAGAAGATATGCACCCCACCCCCCATTTCATTTCATCTATGACATGCAGTGTACTTCAGTTTATTTCATATAGTCTCTAAAGGAGTCACTAATTTAGTTGGGATAGAAACAACTGACTCTAAGCAGATTTCATGTTTTTGGTGTTGTAATTACAAACAAAAAAGTGACCGTTATGATGACAGGACCACGTTACAAATAACAATGACAGACAAAGGCACTAATGCAGGTATTTGATTGGGATATTATATGCATAGCAGACACTCAAGCAAATTGGAAGAATTTCACTTGTGCAGATTGCAAAGTCTGCACAATCCTTCACTTCCTTCACAAGTGAAGGATTTAAAAATCCTTCACAGTGAAGGATTTAAAAATCCTTCACTTCCAAGGAATAAAAATACACACATCATGCCACCTTGTGGAGAGAACCCGTACAACACAGAAATCAGGTAAATACAGCATTTCTCTTTGTGAACTTGGAACACTGGGAAATTGGGAAGTAGCCTATCATGTGATGCGGCCTTAAATATGATTTAGTTGGGATAGAAAACTAACACTAATTTAGTTTGGATAGAAACAACTGACTCTAAGCAGATTTCATGTTTTTGGTGTTGTAACTACAAATAAAAAAGTGACCATTATTGGATGCCAGCCATCAGTTATAATGACAGGAGCACATTGCAAATAACAGTGGCAGGCAAATATCCGAAAGCAGGTATTTGCTTGGGATATTATAAACGCAAGAAGATCGGAAGAATTTCACTTGTGCAGATTGCAAAGTCTGCACAAGTGAAGGATTTGTCTATAAAAATACACACATCATGCCACCTTGTGGAGAGAACCCGTACAACACAGAAATCAGGTAAATACAGTATTTCTCTTTGTGAACTTGGAAATTGGGAAGTAGCCTATCATGTGATGCGACCTTAAATGTGATCAGGTGATTTCCTGGGTCCTTAAAGGTCAGAAAAAAATGAAGAAAGATCTGGAAATTGTGGCTAGATTTCATCCATATTATTTAGACATTAATAGTAGTGCTAGTGTCTCTGTAATACGAGGGATTTATTGTTAGTAAACAGTATTATTAACCAATGCATAAAGAACCACGATGTGCCAAGAGGACTGGCTAAATTTCGGACATTCTTTACCTTTAATATATTATCCTTAATGTATTACATCAAAATTAGGTTGTCAATACATCTTCTCTAAAAAGGTAACTACAAACATTACTTCTGCGGCTTATGGCAGAATAAAGTGCTGAAGAGCAAATATACGTGTAGTGCAGAGGAAGCGCTGCCGTCACAGCTGCAGGGAGCAAGCATCAGTAGCAATCACATGAGAGGGGCCTGGTGTTATGTCACGTGAGGTATCGCTTCTAAAACATGGCTCCAAATAGCTCAGAGCAAAACACAATCGGCTGACTGACTGTCGTCTAGCTGCTGACACTCATCTCTAAATGCCAGAAAATGAAGCAAACACATGTCATCATGCAGGATGTCCAAGTGTTATGAAGTTAATGTCGGACAAACTCATCATGCATGGAACCGGGGTGCATTGTTAGCTCAACGCTAACTAGCTGTCAACTGCTACAAGTGGTGAGAGGTGAGCTATACGTTGGTGGCAATTGGTCTGCAATTGCATTCTAGTTATTGTTTAACGAGGTAGTTGCTTTCGTTTAGCTTTGTGCTAGAAATTTTAGCAACTAACTGCATGGTTGCGTTTTGCTTCCATCAGTTGTGCCTCGTAAGGTTAGTCCCTTCGTTAAGCTAACTGTTAGCTAGCGATAACTTTCGACGTTACTTCCCTAATGGTCATTTCTTAATCTTACCGACGGTTTTTATTAACTTTGTTCGTTGAGTTACTAAATATGTTAAAAAGGTTGCCATAATGTAAACACAGTTACGTGACTTTGTTAAGTTTTCATCCCCGAAAGAGTCGTTTTAAATTGGGAATTGCTGTTTCTTTGGTGTCATATCTGCCTGCAAGCTGTGAGCATTTATGAAAAGCAGTGACTTCAAAACCTCTCCGCAGGGCAAATTAGATTTGTTGTCGGGTAGAACTTGAGTCATGTGAGCTGAGCTCAAACTTTATGAGAGAAGTAGAAAGCATCAAAGCAGTATTGTTTTTAAAGTGGTTGCTCATCTAACTGTCTGTTTATACTTTACAGTTCTTTTTTAAAGGGACAGGTGGATGAGGAGATAACGTTTGCTGTTGGTGATTTTATATCTTCCTCCATGGATATCTGAAAACTGAAAACTTCTAGTGGCTGACAGCGAGTGGAAAGTAGCTGAAAACTGTCTAAGTGAGAACAACCAGTTGCAGATTGACCATGGATTGGCTGATGCATGCAGTTGAAAAAGACTTGGGGATTGAAAGACGGCAGCAAGGCCCAGGGCGCCGTCCTCAAGAGCTTGTAGCCCTTGTTCCTGTGCGCTGGGTGATGGGCCTAAGAGAGGGGCGAGTCATGCGCTGTGCCCGTTTTGACAGCATCAGTGAGGCAGAAATTTGCACATACCTTCAGTCTTCTCAGGCGAAACTGCCCCCTGGGTGGACTAGAGTGTGCATTCAGGGTTTGAGGAAAAGTAAGCTGAGCTACAGACTGGCCAAAGAGCCATGTCAACAACAAATGGAATTTCTGTCACAGGATTCTTACGTCAAAACAATGCAGAGTGTATCACAGCATAATATCAGGTACTCAACATAATTTAAATTCGAATGCAAAATATATCTTTGCCTACCACCTTATTGTAGTTCTAGATCCTGATTAAGCTAAGATTATTTGTCTAAGAAAACATTTTCTGCAATATTTTGTTAGAGCTGATCAAGTTAATTAATCGTTGAGCACTGAAAGACTGTGTGAGAGAGTATTTGTGAGGGCTTTTATTCAATAAATAGTTTACTAAAAATTGTTAGATTAGTCAGTAATGAAAAATATGTTTTAGGTCCACAGCTAATGTTAATGTGTAATGCTTTCATATTAAATGAGCTGTGTTAGGTATTATTACTTGCTTTAGTTAGGACATGGTTACTCATTACTTAGAGGCATTTCTTAATCATGCAGTCCGAACAACATTAGGCGTTATGATCTAAGAGCGAGTTTAATGCCTAACAGTCTTCATTGCCCTTCTTCTTTCTTTCAGGAATCTATGGCGTGAAGCTCATAACAAACTTGTGCGGCCATATTCAGGAGCCAGTGAACAGATGCATGTTGCAGCTGTAGATGCAGTACGTCATGCATTACAGAAGCTCTTTAATTCCACATTTATCTCAACTGAAAAAGTATCTCCATTGCTTTCTCCTGCCAGAGACAAGGAGAAAGAAGTCTGCTTGCCATCTAGCTCTTCTTGTTTTTCCAAATCCCAGTCAGACAGTCTGTGTCCTAA